CGGGCCGGGGGAGCCGCGGTGAGCGGGGGCTCCGGGCACGGGGAACCGGGACCGGGCCGGGGTCACCGGGCACGGGGAACCGGACACTGGGCCCGGCGGGACGGGCCGGCCCGGGTCCGGCAGGGCCTGAGGCGTTCGGATCCGTGGGTGCTCAGCAAGGCCGGCCCGTTCCGGCCTGAGGCTCCAGGCACGGGGGTCCGGTCTGTGCGACCTCAGCCTTGATCCAGAGGAGGCCACCAAGTTGGTCAGAGGGGAGGAGCTCCTCTCCTTTTAGGAAAGGCTGGAAGAATTTGTATTGTTCAGCCTAGAAAGGAGAAAGCTTTGGGGCGACCTAATTGTGGCCTTCCAGTACCTAAATAGAACTTACAGGAAAGATGGAACAAGACTATTTACAGGGGTCTGGAGTGACAGGAGAAGGGGGAACGACTTCGAACTGACAGCAGGGTTAGATGGGATATTGGGAAGAAATTTGCCCTGTGAGGGTGGTGAGGCCCTGGTTCAGGCTGTCCAGAGCTGTGGCTGCCCCATCCCTGGAAGTGTCCAGCCTCAGGCTGGATGGGCTTTGGAGCAACCTGCTCTGGTGGGACGTGATGGCCATGGCATGTACTGGATGATTTTCCAGGTTTCTTCCAACCCAAACCATTCTGGGATTCCCTGAACCTGTCCCTGTAAGACTGGAGGTATCTGGGCATGAGGGATTGGTCCAGTCACCCCTGTGCGGCCTGAGGTGTCCTGGCTCAGCGTCCAGGATCTGGGCATGGCAGGTTGGGTTGCTCGAGGCCATCCCATCAGCAAACAGAAGGTTGGTGCTGGATCAGTGGAATGCCCAGGGAGGTGTTGGAGTCACCATCCCTGGAGGTGTTTAAGGAAAGACTGGACATGGCACTCAGTGCTCTGGTCTGGGTGACAAGGTGGGGATTGGTCACAGGTTGAGCTGGATGGTCTTGGAGGTCTCAGGCTCAGGCTGAGCTTAAGGCCAGCTGCTCCCGGTGGGATGCCGAGCAGGACTGGCACCAGTGAGGCCTGAGAGATGCTGTGATATCCCCTGTGCTGACTGTGTGCTCTGTCCCTGGCTGCAGGAGGCCTGGCGGCTGTGCTGAGCCCTCACTATGAACGCTATCGTCGCCCTGTGCCATTTCTGTGAGCTCCATGGCCCTCGCACCCTGTTCTGCACCGAGGTCCTGCACTCGCCTCTCCCGCAGGGTGCTGGCAGCGGGGACATCTCCGGGCAGAATGAGCAGGCAGAAGAGGAGGAAGGTGGGATTCAGATGAGCAGCCGGATCCGCTCACACAGCCCAGCTGAAGGGGCCAGCGCCGACTCCAGCAGCCCAGGGCCAAAGAAA